ATTTTTTTCCAATGGTAAAGAGGAATATGATTTATTTAGTACGAATTTTGATTTAAATTAAAATAAAATTTTGTTATTGAAAAGGATAATAAAATATAAGGAAATTATTGTAAAAAAACTTAAAACAAATTAGTAAAGTTTGAAGCTATTGCTATTGAATTTTGATGATTTATGGATAGACCTTTGGCCAAGCTTTTTGCCATACTTTTGCTAAGTATTTTTGTAGGCATTTTAACAGTTTTTTGTAAGACTTTTTGTTAGACAATTTTGCAGTATTTTTCCAAACTACTTGCTAGACCTTTTTTCTAGACTTTATCTGGTATGCCTAGACATATATTTAACCATACATATTAATAGCTAATAATATTAATAATCATGATAAACTAATAAATACAAACACCCAAACATCTTAATGAGGCCAGCAGAAGATGCTGCTAAATTTCTACTGACTGCCGCCAGGTGTCGCCTGTCACTGTCAGGCTTATGAACTAATTGAGGCACAAATGGCGACCAACTTGAGTACCAAGACTGTCTGTTCACGCTGTCGCACATTTCACAAACAGCAGGCAGACAGACACGCAGTCACTCCTCTCTCCCTATCCTCCATCCCCACCCTCTTCTGTTTACCGCCCTCTTAACGAGTGACAAATAGGCGTATGAGCAATGCGACTGCTGTTGCCACTGCGATGGCATCGGTTCGCATTCATTATACATTACAAGCTGCTTAACCGAAACGCCGGATAATCAGCGATTTTTCCATTAAATTACACCGAAACTGGCTTCTCTGACACTACCAGAAGTCCCCCATTTCAAATTCAAGAATCTTAATGGGAAATGGAAATTCGCCAAAAAGAAAGGGGGCATCCCTTTACGTTCCCGTTTTTTTTTTTTCGTTGTTTTCATGGGTGTTTCATGGGTGTTCCATGGGTTAAAGATTGCGAAACCTCATAATTGGCTTAACCGCAGGAAAAGAGAAGAATACCGTGAAAGTAGCAGTGTTAAAGTGGTAAATATGTCAGCGGCAGTAAAGACATAAATTTTCGTTAAGTAGACGCGCACACGCAATCGCTGCCCAAAAGTAGAAGAATCACTTCGCGTAGAATCCAAGTAAAGAAGATGAAGATGTGTTCAAGGGGAATGGGTATAGTAACACAGAAAAAAAAAGATTATAATAAGTATTTAAATGATTTAAAATATTTTAGATTTTCGTTAATTACGACGACAAGGGAGTCTTTAAATCACAGAAATAATTTCAATTTAAAAAAAAAACTTTGATTTATCCTATCAACGTTCGTATATAAAATTGATTTCTGTGTAGTAGGCAATAATCGGTTGGTCTAATCTTGCTGCGCTTGAATGATGATGATGTGCCACGCCCAACGCCTTCCGCTGGCTGCACACACACACACACACGATCACACTCACTCACACACACACACACATATATACACTGACAAAGCCTTAATTACAACGTGCCAAGAGTTAAGCCAAATATTTTTTGGTTTTTTGGGCAGAAGAGACGAATGAATTGCTGTGGTGTGGCCAAAAAGAAAAGGGTGGTGATAGAGGGTTAAACGGTTGCGGAAAAGTCAGAAGATATAAGGAGGCGTGGTCCTGAAGGGGCCAAGAAATTTTTGGAAGAACACGTGCGCACATGTGCAACTTCCGTTAAAAATCTATTGCTAACTTTCAACAATTCACAGACACAAACGTGGCCAGGCAGGCACACACACTCAGCACACATACGCACACACCCAAAAAAAAAAAAAAAACACCCACACACACACACACACACATACTTGAAAGGTGCGCGCTTTGGCTGTTTGTGTAAGTGAGTTAGAGTTTCCTGCAGCTGTCGGGGCAACATCCGGTTCCTCTTCTTCTTCTTCTTCTTCTACTACCACTAGTACTGCTGCTTTTGCAACAACGTTTACGTCGACGCCAAAGTCCATGTCTCAAGCTACCTCACCCTCTAAATACACCACCCATGTTCTGCCTTCTATCTTCTGCATGACGGCTAAAACACTTATTTGGCTTAAGGCAAAAACTCTAAGCCAAAAATAGCAATAACAACACAATGCAGCCAGAAGGAAAAGGTCTTGAGGTGAAAAACTTAAAAGAGTAAAAGCCAGGAACCTAAATACACTATGTAATACAGATTTCATTAACCCAAATCACCTAAGAGTTTTGAATTTCCATATATCAGATAATAAATTATGTTTCTGCAGATCAAATACTTGCAAAAAGTAAATGCCAAGATCCTAATTTACCAATTATAAAACCGGAATTCGATAGATTAATGTCAATGCCTATTAACGCCTAATAATGATATAAAGACTCTAAAGATTCAGAGACTAACTCTATAATGTTTAACCATTTATAATAATAACTCTGCTTAAATTTAAGAATATAAATTGATATGATATTATAAACATACCCCAAACACACGAAACCCTTTGAAAGTCGAATATTTATTTATAATTTTTTTTTTTAATTCTGAAACATGCATCTGTAATCAACAGACGTAGATAGTTTGGATGGGTAAAGTAGGTAGTACGCATCCGCTGGCTCCCTGTGTATGTGTGTGCTTAAAAAATTGCACAAAGTTTAAGCTTTTTGTGTGCACGTGTGCATGGACGGAGAAGGAGTAAAAGAAGCGGTTCGGAGGGTTTGAGTCAGTCGTGGAACTGTGGCTGAAGTCACGTAATTCAAATAACTAAAGTTGGCGTAAATATGCCGAGCATACAACACACCCACTCGAATGAAGTTGAGTTACTGGCAAAAGACAATTGCTCACGCACTTACTTGTTGTTGGCCATGGCTTAAAGTTCATTAATTTCTCTCACTCTGGTTGTAATTTGTTTTAAGCAAACAACTGACGAGAATGCTGCAGGCTCTTGAAACTGGGGTTAAATTCTCATCATAGACTTTTGGTTACGTAGTAAACGCACAAAAGTATGCAATGATAATTGAGTATAGCAAAAACAAAAAATTTTTTTAACTCAATTTTAAAAGCTTATTCTAAAATAGTTTAGTCAAAATAATAATTGTTTGTTTTGTACATTTAAATAAATCTTCGATTTTTAGTTCAAAATGAGTAATAATATCTTAATTTAAAATGTAAAATCACCCCACGAAGCAATCTTAAGCTGGCAAAAAATTGAGATGAGCTGCTAATTACTCGCTAAGCTCCTCTTTTGAGCAGCTAGCGAAAAGAAGAATAAACACTTCACCAGTCCAGTTTTGGCCAGCACTTGGCTTAAGTCCGCCACTCGAGGTCCTGCCTTATGAGCCATGTCGGGATCAGGACTGTGTGGCTGGCTATCTGGGACGTCTGTTGCCTAATTAGTTACCAGATTTTTGTCTGCACAATTCGCTCAGCTACTTTATATGTTAATGAGTTTTTAGCGTGGCCACACTTTTGGGCCACAGTCCGCACTTCTTTCGACACAAATTTCCTTTGTCTTGGCCATGAGTGGAGTCTGTGGTTTGGCACAATTGAATTGGAAAACAGCTTTCGCGGCTTACATAATGCAAGCACACGAAAAAATTTAAATTTTGCCATATTTAATGGATAATTATTTATAAACATTAACGAATTACGAATACGAATTTCAATATAAAATACTATAAAAACTCAAAACTAAGGCTATATGTTATTTTATAAAATATTTTTTAAAACCCTATTGCTACCACTCTTCTTCAAAGAATAAACCCACTAGGATTTCTTCATGTGCACAAACTAACACAGAAGCTTCTCTTGAGGGAAAAGGAAACGCTGAAAATTTCACAAAATATGAAAGTCGCTGTCCTGCTTATCGTACAAATGGCATGACCAGGAAAAGTGAAGGGGCTCCCTAAAAAGGGAAGTAGGAGAAGGTTAGAATGGGGGTACAGGGAAAACTCTGCTAAAGCGGCCGCTTTTTGCAAAAGTTGAAATTGCATTTGGCAAAAAGGAAGGAGACGACGGGTCGAAAAGAAAATGTACATAGTAAAAACCATTTTGATAGACAGTGGGAAAGAACCACATGTGTCTATGTGTGTGTTTGTGTATGTGTGTGTGTGTTAGTGTGGCAACATTTTCTTATCTAAACAATATTGCGACTACTGCACATGCAAAGCGGCGACAACAACTGAATCGCTTCTATGGCTGATTGAACAAAGTTTGTATGTTGTTGTCATAAAAAATAGGGTATTAAAGAGTAGTATTGGCATGACCAAAACTACATAAGAGAAATCAAATTTTCAAAACCTTCAAACTAAGCCCATTTAACCAACTTCGCATTAATCAAAATTAATCAAATTTATGTATCATAAAATTCCCTTAATATTCCCCAAACTTTTTAATACTTTCTTAGTAGAGAAACAAATTCCTAGGTAACAAAATGTCCTTATGCTTATCTGCACTTTTAGATTGTTTTTCAGCAAGTTTTTGACTTTTGCGCTGTAAATGAGAAAATGACAACACAATGCACTTGTTACTCTTTGCTTTTGTCAACATCATGTGCTACCAAAATGACTGTGATACAACGCGAAATGCTGGTCAAGTTTTACAGGAAAACCTAAAATGGTCACTCAAATTATTGATAAACTTTAAGGGGAATTTAATATATATTCCCTCTCAGTGATATATATTCGAAATTTTAAGAAGTAAAGTATTTGATTCTACAAATTTCGCAACATTTTCATATAAGTACATTTAAATTCACTCAAACCAACACAAGCCCACTTCATTTTCATTTTAAAATTGAACCTTTGATATATATTTATATTTATAAACATACAAACATTATATTAACTTATCTATTGAAATCTAATTAACCCATTAAGTGATAATAAAAAAAAATTAGCAACACTTTCAAGTGTGTCTTTTTATCTAATCGGACAACATCAGCAAAACATGACGTAAAAAAATATGAAAACTTTGACATATATAGAAAAATCTAGAATATATATTACAAAAAAACCGTAAAAGAAAACAAAACTTGCGCACACATTTATTTAAATTGTTTATTTTTTTTCTAAAACCTATTTATAATCTGTTTTTTGTTTTTGTGATTTTTAAGGTTCTCGGCTTGGGAACAGGTAAATTACAATGTATGTTAATTATTTCACATGTTTAACATATTGTTTGGGTTTTATAAAAGTGTTTTTTAGGAGTTATATTTGTTTGGTTTTATTTCCCCTCACAACATTTCGGCGCCATCTCTCTTTCGGTTTGAATTTTGCATAATTCATTCACGCCATAAAGGTTAAAGGTTGGTTTAACAACGTATTTGTTATTAGAACTAATTGTAAATTTATAAATTATAAACTTAAAGCAGTTTGTTACCAATTTGATAGCTTGTAACATACATTTCATACGCATTTATTATTTGTCTCTGCTTGTTAATTTTATATATTTATTAAATTGTTTTTTATGTTTGTTTTCGGAAAATTGAATGGTTGTTCTAAATAAATGCGTACGTTTAGGAAGCAACTTAAAATGTACAAGGACAGTTTCTGTTTGTAGTTTAAGATGTGTGTGTGTGTTGTATGTTGGTTTGTGTGTTTTGAGGGAAAAAAATGTACAATAATTGTGGAATATTTTTCTTTCTCGTATTTTGAACTCCGCGTTTATGACTCTGTCAGTGGGGAAAATAGGGGGGAATTAACAACGGACGAGGAACAGTGGCACACTGGTAACATATTGGATTAAAGAATAAAAGCTATACCATAGGATAGGATCCCAGATCACTTCTGGTCGCTTTTTTTCTTTTATCAATGCAGATTATTATGTTTTTATACTCACAAACGACAGATCATCATAAAAAACGTTTGTTAGCCGATTTATAAATCTCTTTGTTTGTTGTTGTTGTTCTTGTTGTTAGCGGATGATGTGAAAAGTTACAATGAATGTATGTGTGTGTGTGCTTGGGGTCTGAGGCTGAAGAAAGGATTGGCGTTTGCCCAAAATAACCGGCTTAACCGATCATCAGCCCGCAACCCAGTCTAAAGTTGTTCTTGACGTGGTTCATGCGTCCGCTTAGGGCTAGCGTAAATGGCAATGGATTCAGACGCTTTTCCAAAACTCCGGAGATGTGCCAGTTGGAATCAATTCCGCCTGAAAAAAGGTAAGTTTATCAGTAATGTTTTAAGAAAGTTAACAAGGCTGAAGGCTGCGAGCCCTCAACGATGGGCTAAACGCATTATACCCTTACCTCTGAAGACCAGATCTGCCTTGGGCAAATCAATCTGATAGGCTATAGTGGCCACAGACTCCTGCATGCGCAAGCTGGTCTCCACCTCCACACCAATCTGCAGCTGTTCGCTGGCCTTCTGGTAGTAGCACACATGCAGACCGCTCTGACCCAGGGTCCCCGACCAAACCGAATTTCCAGCCGTGTAGCGGCCAACGGCAGATACAAGAGCTATCTGACGGCCGGGAACATTCGGACCGAATTGGTAGGCCAATTCGGCACCCAGGGCGATGGCTGGAGTGACTGACTGCAGATATTGGCCAACGACCACGCCGGAGTTGGTGAATATACTGGGATTGGCCACCGTCAGCGAAGCAGTGTAATCACTGCCGCGATAATCGGTCGTCAGTTGCGAGGCCACCATCTTAGAGTCCTGGATCTGATGGTTATCAAAAGAGGTCATTAATATAAATAATAATGTATATTATAAGTCCACGAGATAAGGCAAATATACATAATACCCTGATATTATGTCGTAGTCTACTAAATGGCTTTTTTTTCTGTTCTTTGGACGCTAAGTAACCTTAGGGGCTTATAAATGTTTAACCTATAGTAAAAAGCTAATAAAAGATACGTTATAAGTATGGACAACTTTGGACAACTTTGGGTTTTCCCACCAATTCTGGTTTAATTGTAAGCTCTATCTGCCGCGGGATATCTTTCTATAGTTTTCCTATCCTTCTAGTATCTTTTCCTGATCCCAATCACCACCAGAACTTACCTGCGAGGCAAACTTGCAACGCAGCCGGGCGGAGAATTGATGAATGACGTTGGCGTTGAGGTTACCCGACGGATCGATGTCGCCCAGTAGCACAGGGAATGCCTCCGTGGGGCTATATTGCTTGGTGCCAACATAGGTGGCTCCAAAACGATATCCACTTGGTACCACATTGCTCATATTGATGGTGTGCGACACCTGGAAGTGGTTGCTCAGACCTTTGTTCAGCATAATCTTGGCGCCCTCGAAAGTGGTGGCCTGGATATCTGTGGGAGGTATAAAATGTGCGCTGTGATAATGCATAATATATAATAATACCCCCCTAAATGCCCCACCATCTATATGCGCCGTCTCGCTCTCGCATGTTGTAGGTTATGTCATCAGAGTTGCAGAGGGCTTTTTGCGGGGTTTTTCAGCCGGACTGACTGAGGTTTTCTGACTGAAGTACACATACCTTTGCACTTTTTGTGGAGCTCCTCAACGGTGCCCGGATTCTCCAATGGGGCATCTTTGGAAGCGGCAAACGAGTTCGAGCCTGCGGCGGACGAAGAAGATCCGGACGGCGATCCGGAATCTGTGGGCAATGGTGCCGGTTCCGGGAGACCGAGGCCAAGATTTGAGGCGCCACCGCCACTGGCGCCAGAGGAAGCCGCTAGCACGTTACCCATTACAAAAATCCCGATGTAATCTATATAATTTAAAAGCCCAACACGTTTCTATATCGGATTTATCGGCGAGAGGGTGTTATGTCTCGTCTCGGGCAATCGAAGAACGATAGGGGCTAAATCAGAAGGTGGCTATCGTCTCTCTATATCGATAAGCAAAAGAACCAAATGACCAGATGCGTTGCAAAAAAATTGCCTAAGAATTAAATTGTCGTTGCCACCCTTTGGCAAATTCAAATATTTTTTGTGATTTAATAAAATTATTTGATAACGAATGCAAAAGTGCAAAAGAAATAAGTGTATCACTGTTATTGTGCTTCTAACAATTATTTCAAGAGTAAGGGATTGAAACCTTTTATAAAAATATAAGCTACAGTTGTAAAAAAAAAAAGTATGACTATTATATGCCGTTCGAAAATCGGAAGAGTATAAAGATTTTAATTCAATTCAGAAGTTAAAAAAAAAATGATTTACTTGCACGTCTATGAACACGACAGTATTTATCAAACGATTTGCTTGTTTGACACTGATTTCAATACTCCTGAGTTACAAAGAACAATGGTTTAAAAGCCCATTTTAACCCTCCTTGATTAACCAATGCCGATGTCATTCGTATTATTAAAAACGTTTATATTTCAAGTTTCAAGTATATGTATAGCTTTTCCGTTCGTAAGTGTGTATGTGGAGTAATGTGTTGTATGAGTTAGGAGCACAGAAACTCGTCTACGTATTTCTGATGTGACTCGTTTACCAATAACAGAATCGAATTAAACTTATTTTATAAAGGGGGGACAAACTCAATATTCACTAATTACCGTGAGTCACCTAATTAAAATTTAACTTAAGAGCAAAACTAAAAGTAATTAGAAAAAAAAACTCATTGTACAAATATACGTAACTGTTTTGGTTTTTCAGCTAAACTAGGCGATTAAACAAGATTATAGAGTCAACAAAGATTTTTTTGGGAGGAAAGGGTTGTGGCGGTGGTGGGTAGGACATACAATACAAATCAATGTACGCAAAACAGTATTGAAAATAATAAACAGGGGATAATCAACAACAAGAAGACTTTTCCGGCTCAGCCACGACAAGATTAAAGTCCAGACTATTAGGTCGCGAAAACCCGGATTTAATGCCATCCCATCCATCCTCCGCCTTGTATTCACCGGATCGGATGCGGGCGTACACCTCCTGGGTGACCATTCGAAAGGCCTCCTCCACATTGGCCCCGGATCGTGCCGATGTCTCAACGAAATGCAAACCATGTTGTTTGGCAAACTTTTGCGCTTCCTCCGTAGTCACCTCACGATGCCCGCCGGCGTTAATGAGATCCAGTTTGCAGCCGACCAAAGCGAAAACAGGGTGGTGGGGCTCAATGTGACGCTGTGCCTCCATCATCCACAGCGGTATGTGCTCGAAGCTGGCATGATTTGATATGTCATAGACCAACAGCACACCCACCGAGTTTCTATAGTAGGACTTGGTAATCGAGCGGAAGCGCTCCTGGCCAGCGGTGTCCCATAGCTGGAGCTTAATCTGTGTACCGTCCTTCATTTCGATGAGGCGGGCAAAGAAGTCGACGCCAACTGTGGGATCCGATAACTACAAGTAGGAAGTAAATATAATTATTATGTGGATATTTTCCTTTTAAATGAAAAAATAATAAAATATCAAATTGGCTGTGATAACTATGAATTTTGAACTGCCCGCCTTAGATTTTTATGCATCCCTGGTCCTTTTTTGCCTGTGTGTTGCTGCCTGCATTATCAGGCGAGCAAACACAAGGACACATACACCAACGCACACAAACACACACACTGACAAGGTGACTAAGACAGCATCTTTTTAAAAATCCACTCCCTTTGTCTATTTTTTGTTGTCTTTTGCTAAGTGCAGTCACTTAATTATGTAATACACGCCTTAACTGCATTACCCGGAGATTAAACAGCGGGTCTACAGGTCCATACATACGGGATACGATTGTCAATTGCTGGAAATACGAACCTCAGCAAATTTGCCGTCTGTGAAGAATTTGAGCAACGAACTTTTGCCCACGGTGCTGTCGCCGATTAAAATCAGTCGAAATTGATACTCGAAAATGGGTTCCACCATTTCGAAAACAAAATTCACGGATTTATATAGCGGTTTTAAATCCGCAAACACAAAATACAATCTTTCTTTTGCAAAGTTTGAGACGCAAATCCGCTATTTCGCTGTTACAGCTTGGTATGTCCTGATTGTTGTCGGCAAATCGTATATTTGTGTTGTCCACTCGATTTCTGGCTTTGCGAGACTTGAATTCTGGCCGTCTCTGGTGGTTTTCAAATTATAAATATTCGAGAATTCGAATTCAGCTGCCTCTTAATTTTGTTTTGTTTTGTGTTTTTTTCTCACATGCAAGCTCGAGTCTGTATTAGTGTGAGCCCGTGTGTATGATAATGTCAGCATTGCCGGACTGTTGACAATTATCGATAGTGCCAAAATAGCCAAAACGAAACATGGTTATTAATAGCTAGAAATTGCTCAAAACCGAAGACAATAATAATACAACATATTTTTTATTAATAATACATATTTTAAATTCTCAATTGAATTCTTAGTTTAAAAACAATTTATTTGTAGTTTTAGCTTGTAGCTAGTTAATCTCTAGCAGCAGCAACAATATTGATCTGGCAACACCATTTAACTGTCACTCTGACAGCTGTTCGATTGTAAATATATCTCTCTAGGGATGGTCAAGAACCATTCATTTAAATAAATAGAAATATAATATTTATATATGCCGATTGAATAAGAAAAAGACTTAACTGACATCGCACAAGGTGGAGCTTTTTAAAATAATTTCAGACTTGTGTGTTAGTAGTGCGTGTTAATAATTTTTATGTTCGTGACGAGTTATGTGTCGTGCGGAAAAAAAATCCATCACTAGTACGCACTGTATTTTCTTTTTACGCTTGTTTTCAGTGGAAATTGTCCGTTTTGTTTTTCGCACAGCACACAAATGTACAAACAATCCGCCGGTCACTCGGAAGTAACGGAAATCAAGAGCTTTTTGTCAACAGCCGGTAACCACTGCGATACGGAATCCACATCGTTCTCCTTCTATCTCATCTCCGCCTTCTACCCCCGATTCGGTTACGGAACCAATAATATTTCCGTTAATTATAGCCCACAGCGGGGCGAGAATATATAGAAATCGGCCATATAGATGTTCAAGTTCATACTGAACGACGCCGCCAACTACGTGCGTTCGAATGTGCGGGAGTTCAGCCTGAATGCAGTGCGCTGGTTGCCGCAATTGCCACAATTGAGTCCATACGATGTAAGATCATGAATTGGTAATACCCTGTATTAATAATACCCAATAACTTCCTTAATTAAGTCTGTTAATCCATAAAAAATACTGTTAGTATGATCTCTTATGTGTTATATTACCAGTGTAGTATCTATAGAACTAACCATCAACTAAGGGATGTGCCTAAATAATAAAACAGAATCAAGAGAAAAACCATAAACATATAAATTCTGTACTAATTTCAACTATTATTACAGATTAACATAGTTCTAAGGGAGAACGAGTTCGTTTACAACTTTCCCGTGGACGGAGTCATCCGTAGCTATGAAACGAATCAGCTGGGATCCAATTCGCCCTGCGAGGATTCCCGCACCGAGGCGAGTTTGCTACACCGCAACGGCTTCATCTGCGGTATTTTCGACGGCCATGCTGGAGCAGCCTGTGGCCAAGTGGTGTCCAAGAGACTGCTACGCTATGTTTCAGCAGCCACCTTGCCGCGTCAGGTGCTCCGGGAACAAATGAAGCAGGGTGCAGGCAGCCAATCGTTCCTCAAATGTCACAATGACAACGTGGACTTTGTCAGCGAGATCAAGCCCATCTACGAGGCCAGTTTCCTCAAGTACATTAAAAAATTAACGGAGACACCGCAGCGAGATGTATCCAGTGAACTGGTGGAGGCCTTTCTTGAACTAGACCAGGGTCTATCCGAGGAGGCTCTAGACAGCAACGATATGCGAACCATGAGCGTGGCACTCTCCGGTGGGTGGTGTATCCAAGTACTACTAAACTTACGCTTGTTGTTAACGATACACAATGCAAATACTTCGCATAACAGCAACTGCATCGTTTACAAACAGTTGTACATTTCTTAGTTAATATGAGTTTAATTACTATTACTATATACTTACCTAACTTTAACTTCATTGTTATACACAAAATAGTAGTAGTAATTCTCAACGGTCATTAGTACTTTTGTTGGTCGCGACACTTATTTTATGTATTTATTTTCTAGGAGCCGTTGCCTGTTTGGTGCACATAGAAGGCTTGCAGCTGCATGTGGCCAGCACAGGTGATTGCGGTGCAGTATTGGGCGTCCTCGATCCAAAAACCCAGCAGTGGCAACCAAAGAAGCTCAATATCGAGCACAATGCGGACAATATGTCAGAAGTGCGACGTATCCTGTCCGAGCATCCAAAAGAAGAACATGAGACGGTGATCAGAAATGGCAGGTTGCTCAGCCAGCTGGCACCGTTACGTGCCTTCGGGGACTTCCGATACAAGTGGTCCCTAGAGATAATGCAGCAAAAGGTGCTGCCGTTGTTCGGCAAGCATGCCATGTCGCCGAATTACTATACGCCACCGTACCTAACCGCCCGTCCCGATGTCCAGCAGCATGAATTGGGGCCCAACGACAAGTTTCTAGTCATAGCCAGCGACGGCCTGTGGGATTTCCTTTCGCCCAGCGAGGTAGTTAGCTTGGTGGGAGAACACATCAACTCAAAAAAGATCCTCGAACCAATGCGCCTGCCGGAAGGCGATATAACGCTGCAGCAAATCTCCAATCAGCTAGCCGAACGGAAGTCAGTATTCTTATGCAATTTATGTAGATTGATATTTATTGATAATGATTTAACTTACAGAGCTGGTCTCACCCGTAAGCCGGTGGATCAAAATGCGGCCACACATCTCATCCGGCATGCTTTGGGAGCCACAGATTATGGGATTGAGCACTCCAAGATCTCGTACTATTTGACGCTGCCCAAGGATGTTGTGCGTCAGTATCGGGACGACATCACCATCACCGTCATCTACTTCAACTCTGAGCATATTGCCCAGCTGCACAGCGGAGCGGATCTATCGGGGATCACTGCGCCGGTAGCGTGATCTTCGTGAGAATGCATATGTGTATATTTAACTAGCTAACCTTCAGCCTAACTAGCCTAAGTGTTGCGTTTAAGTTTGTTTCATCCGCCATCGGACCTCGGACGACTGCCGCGTCAAATAAATCCCACGCGGAAAGAGAATAATTACATAAGTAAATTGAATTTTTAATGGAGAACCTGGATTGGCCTTAGTTGCAGTTAAAATAAAAGCTCTGACCTACTTAAATCCCATAAAATATCATTAATCAAGTAACATAATCCATCGGTATGGAGTTTCTTCATATATTTATTTTCAAATAATTCGTGATTTTGTAAAGTAGTTAATTTTTTTTTGTAAAAGCCAGTACTTATTCTAATTTTCCTGTTTAAAATTATATTTGCATAATTTTTATTTTTTATAATCTAATTCATTTTAAAACTTCTTATGTTATTCTATTATATGCCAATTTTTATTATCTTTTTTTTTAAATGTATACAACTTTAAGTTTGGGGTTTAAAAAAGGTTAACTGGGAGAATCAAAGATTTAGAGCTAGTTGTATGACTGCAACCGAATTTTCCACCTTAGAACATTCCGAATTTTATACTATCTTGCCGTAAACTACGCAGATTTTGTATTATTTTCGAGAATCGTTTTATTTGACAATTATATTCAATTACAATTGTTTATAACGCCGGGTTTTATATATATGTATAACGCTATTGGTTGGTGCAAAGGGATGAGTGAAGGACTCAGGGTTTTAAGGTCTTTGTGGATAAAAGGGTAAAGCTAACTGAAGAACACGGAAGCCGCGAACTAGCAAACTGGTAAACGGTACGATTCCTAATCCTATACATGGAAAAAACTAAGCAACTACTCAGGGGTAGTGGGGGTAAAACAGAAACAAAAACGTCCCTAATCTTTGCTATCCTGCTCGGCCGCCTCCTGCCGACTTACGCAATTGAGGAACTCCATCTGAATGTGCGTGATCTGTGTCTTGCTGAAACACTGCAACTTCTTCTTGAGAAAGTCGAAAAACAGATCCAGCTCATCTCGCTTGGCCAACGCCTGGGCAACCTGTTGTTGCTGATTCAGCTCCTCCTCTTTGATGAGATTGTTGGAGCTGCTGGCCGCTGCACTAACGGCCAATGGCTGCCCAGATCCACAGCTCAGGGGTGGCAGTTGAAGGATTGTGGCTGTCGGCGTGGATGTGAAGGATGTGGTGTTGCACAGCGCCGCTGCCGGCGTGGTTGTTACTGTTGCGGCATTTAGTGATATGGCCGGCGTGCTGGAAATCGTTACACTGGTACTTGTAGCCTCGGTCACATCCACAAGAGAAATCTGCTGTGTGGACACCGAGGAATCATGACGATTTGATGATCCACCGGCCGGCGTTGCAGAAGTTGTGGTTACCAGCGTGAGATTCTTGAGCTTGCCATCGGCTACCACGGTGCCACCGGCAAGAACACTATTCGACGTATTGCCCGATCCCCCGCTGCTCGAGAACTGATGCTGGCTGGAGCGTACTGATTGCGGTTCAATGTCCGATATGCAAAATTCATGGGCATCGATATAGTGGAAGCCCTTGCTATGGGTAACGTCACTACCGCCGTCTACGGCATCTCCAACGCCCATTTCGCAATCCACATGGGCACCGCTGGCCTCCTCGTACAGGCACACTTCCTCATAATCCACCTCGGCTCCAGTGGCTCCATCTTCGTCCAGTTCATGTTTCACAATATCCATTTGGCCATCGTGATCCACCACATCGTCGTCGTCATCGACATCATCGACCACATCGTCATCGTGGGCAATCTGGGAAAGCTCAATGCTAGAGATACTGCCATCGTGCTGCGACTGATGATGATGATGGTGATGGTGGTGCGGCTGGTGGTGATGATGTTGCTGCTGCTGGTGGTGGCCATGATGATGGTGATGATGATGCTGCGATACTGTGTCATCCGATACGCCCTCCTCGTAGGCGGTCAAAATAAAGGTCTCCGCCTCATCACTAACCAAGGTGATCTGCGAGGCGCCATGATGCGATGACAACGTGGCAGTATCATGATCTGATTGCCCGTCATCGTCAACAACCTCGTCATCATCATCGTCCACATGCTGTTTCAAATGCAGCATCGCTCCAATGGGCAAAGTGGTGCTATTAGCGCCACCAACACCTCCGCCGCCTCCTCCTCCACTTGTCTCATAGCCGCTCTGCGTGTTACGATGTGATTTCAACTTTGGCTGGTACACCGTCGACAAGAACTCCAATTCCTTCGCGTAGCGCCATTTGGACAGTCGGCCTTCAATATACTTGGGCGTGCGCAGGCGATACTGGTGGAACGTGTCCCGCAGGTTCTTCCACTTGCGACGCACCTCCTGAACAGTGTACTTATCTGGAATATGATATAAGTAGATTATGTGGACTGTTTTAACAAATTTATATTCGATAAGTTTTTATAGGTAATGGATTCGTAATAAGACTCTTTGTGAAGGTTTGTAATAATTATAAACTGTCTATAAATAAAAAAAGACCGAAATTGGATAACAAAAAGGTGTTTACTTAAGCTCAAACTGTAAAGAGTGTTTATAAATAATGAAGTTGAAATTTTAGTTAAGATTTATGTCTAATACCTAACAAGCTCTAATAGAGATTTAGGAACCATGATAGTCCCCATGGAATTTACTTTTAGGAGGGCATATCAAGGTAACTTTCAACGTTTTCTACCTAAAGTTAAACTGATTTTTGACATTTGTAACTACTGAAGTGATCAGGGATCAAGGTCAGATTTTCCCGCCTGGATTGTGCACTCACTTCCTATCTGCTGGGCCACTTCCTGCCATCCATTTAGAACATCAGAACGGCGTCGTTGGTTCGGCTGCAGTTTGTAGTTGTAGAGTGCCGGATTCTGGCGGACCAGATTGATTAACGTAAGGATGTCATCCGTGGGCGCGTTGTCCTTGTGGTAGCGCTTGCGCTCTGATGTCGACGAGGACATGTTGCTTCTGCTGGTGGACTTTACTGTTGCTCTTTCCTGATCCTGATCTAGGTCTCGATCCTTGCACTGAGCCCGATCCTGGAGCTCACATCCAAGTGCTTTGTTTTTGTTTACTCTGGAAGGGAGCGACTTTCGTTCTCGTCAAGATTGACGCACACACACACGCACCAAGCGCACACTTATATTGGTGTAGGAACACGCACGCACACACTCTCGTACACTTGATGCCAAGGATAGCTAGCATCCAACGAAGGATCTTCTTGCAGTGTCTCTTTTGGCGACTGAATCTCCTCCAGAAACGAGACTTCGTCCTCGGAGATTACCTCAAATTGTGCGGTTTTAGTCTGCACTTGATGCTCTTGCTTTGCTTTGGCTTTTTTGCTTATTTCGCGCTAGAGATGACACATCGACGAATTGGCGTTTATTTTCCCAGTCACGGGTTTTAACGGTCACAAGTCACTGAATTAAGAACGCAATTTTTATTTGTAAGACTCAAATAAAAATTCAAAACAATACAAGCTTATGATATAAATATATAAAAATATTTATATTAGAAATGTAATATAAAACAATATTAAATATAAAATAAAAGAAATCACGATTGCTAGCAGTGTTGCTCAGCGCTCAATCGAAAACAAATATCGATAAATACCAAATGCAAGTCTGAGCTTATTTTTTCTCTCCTCACCAACAAATAAAAAACAACAGTCTTGTAATTTCTCGTCTTGTCTTAAATTCGATTTGCTGACGAATTGTGTATGACAATGAGCACACCGGCGAAAAATAACAATGGAACTGGACTGGAGGACGTAAATATACCGGGTCAGGCGTACCTGCGCGAAGCCCTGACCTCCTGCACGGATCCTTTGAAGGCCATCGAGAGTTTTCAGGTTTGTTTACGTTGCACTAAAAATGGGCGCGAAAAGTTCTGTTCGCTTATTTATCATTATTTCGTCTGTATTTAGCTTGAAAATGGTGTACTTTTGCCTTCATTGCGACCAATGTTGCCTTTACTCGATTTGCATGGAGTGCGCCGTCTAGACTTCCATACGTCTCTAATGGAGGAGCTCCGGGACAAGTTAATAGCTCATATCAACGAGATGGGCCAAAAAGAACCTCGGGAGCGTGACAAGAAGCTTAAGGAGCTGCTCGTCAAGAGTTTCCCCGTAGTTAGAGTTAAATCGCTACGTCCCGTGGTTATGGCTATTCTAAGGAACACCCAGCACATCGACGATAAGTATCTCAAAATTCTGGTTAGAGATCGTGAACTTTATGCCGATACAGATACGGAAGTTAAGCGGCAAATATGGCGAGACAATCAATCACTGTTTGGTGACGAAGTGTCGCCACTTCTATCGCAATATATTCGCGAGAAGGAGCACATCCTGTTTGATCACACAAACCTGAATAATCTGTTCTTCCAACCAACGCCCAAGGTACGACGACAGGGCGAAGTGGTCCAAAAATTGGCCAATATGATTGGAACTAGTGTAAAACTGTATGACATGGTGTTGCAATTTTTGCGCACTTTGTTCCTGCGCACCCGCAATGTACACTATTGCACGTTGCGTGCGGAACTACTAATGGCCTTACATGATCTCGAAGTGCAGGAGATCATATCGATAGATCCCTGCCATAAGTTCACATGGTGCCTGGATGCCTGCATAAGAGAGAAAAATGTGGACATTAAGCGTTCACGGGAATTGCAAGGTTTCCTAGACAACATCAAGCGCGGCCAAGAGCAAGTTCTGGGCGATCTCTCCATGACTTTGTGCGATCCGTATGCCATCAACTTCCTGGCTACTTCTGCCATTAAGATATTGCATCACTTGATCAACAACGAGGGCATGCCCCGTGACAATCAAATACTTATCCTGTTGTTGAGGATGTTGGCCCTTGGTTTAAGTGCCTGGGTGATGATCGATTCGCAGGACTTTAAGGAACCGAAACTGGACTGTCAAGTGGTCACCAAGTTTCTTCCCGCCCTCATGTCGCTAATGGTAGACGATCAGTGCCGCAGTTTGCATGCCAAACTGCCACCAGATGAACGTGAGTCGGCGTTAACCACCATTGAGCATTCAGGACCCGCTCCGGATGCTGTGGAGTCGTACATTCAAGAGAGCTCCGTGGCTAGCATACTAGCCATGTACTATACACTGCACACGGCGCGTCTGAAGGATCGCGTGGGCGTACTACGTGTCCTTGCCATTCTATCCGCCTGTAAGGACGATCGAGCGTACGAGGATCCTTTCCTGCACTCTTTGGTAATTATTTGTAATCTCAATCAAGAAACTTTATCTAAATCATGGAATTACTTATACAGATTGCTCTGCTTATCCCAATGAGCGAGGAGTTCGCCACGGAGGACTTCTGCACCACGCTTTTCGACGAGTTCATCTTTGCCGGACTGACACGAGAGAATGTGACTTCCCGTCACATGCTAAAATTGCTGTGGTATGTGCACAATAAGTTACCCGCCGGTCGTTTAGCCACTTTGATGAAGGCCATGCAACCGACGACGGCCCACAATGAGCACATCCATAAGCTGTACGAAACGCTTCAAGAGAGGATTGGAACTGGAGCGGCGGAGACACCGGTTATTGAGGCGCCGCCCATGGAATTCGATTCGCCGCTAAAGAGTGTGCCAACGCCGGGTCCTCACTATAATGCCCAATAGCTAGAGGCGCCGGCAGTCGCAACACCAGCGACTGTCGTCGGATGATTGTGGCTAACGACGATGATGATGATGATTGGTGGCCATTTATATGGACGCTTTCTTACTTCTGAGCAGCCGGTGGGATCACAATCCCTATTTAGCATGCATACGCAAATCATAATTCTTGTTTAGACTAAGCGACCGAGTAATCGGATATAGTTTACATATTTACAAATGTATGGCTTTGTTGGCGGGCAACCAATTTGTTGTCGCTGGCTATTATATATATATTATATATTACTGTTACGCTAGTGTAACGATCGATTCTAGTACACAATATAGAGTACAAATCTAAGGTGATGTTTTTTATTTATGGTTCTGAGCTAAGATGCTCAGATGCTGTACTATAAGCTTCCGAGTCTGTGGTACTAATAATAGCCTGTGCTATAATAGAATGAAACCAGAAGTACGTACATATATATATATGCTTCAATCAGTACACCTTTCACTGAGCTTTAATGATTTATAATAACTGATGTCTCTTTTTTTTTTTGTTTTGAGGCAGGAGGAATAAAAAGTTCCTAATAATATTCGGTAGAAAAGGTTTTACACTTAACGCTTATAGCTTAGAGAAATAAACATCATTAAAGAGTTTTATTAGGGATAGGAGTCTTTCGTCTCATGTCTGATCCGTTTCAGCGGCTGTGGAACTGGAAACTGGAGCAGCTTCCGCTACTGAAGCTGCGACTGGAGATGTTGAGGCAGCTCCCACGGAAATGGACGTTGGCGAAACCTCCACGGGAGATGTATCCAACGGAGGTGGAGATGATGAGGCCGACAACAGCTCATCATCGATGCAGACGATAGGTGAGTCTAAGATTTGTATGTCTGGCGAGAGACTAGGAGCAAGCTGTGGCACAGACAGCGATGAAGAGGATGATGATGATGATGAGGACGAACCAGAGCCGGATGAAGACGTAGCGGAAGAGGAAATTGAGCTGCTGGCGGTGGTGGTTGTGGTATTGCTTGTGCTTGTCACAGCCGTTGGTGATCCCTCTTCGCCTCCCTTTCCTACTACTCCTACTACTCCTGGTATTGTTGTTTTTTTCTGAGGCTCTGTGGTTTCTTCATCTCCAACTGGCCCTCCGCTTGGAGATGATCCAGCTGACGAAGCAGCTTTCGGCTGTGGTGGGGCGGGTGTGGCAAAGATATCCTTTTGCCTTTCAGATTTGCACTCCTTTAGCAGTTCCACGTACTCGGAGTACAGGCGCTGCCATTCGGAATGTGGTTTCAAAGTATCAAGACAGCACTGCATTAACTCCAACTTTGGCACGAACTAGAGGGGGATAGAGATATTTGGTATAAACTTCAAGATCTATTTATGATAAACTTTTATGGTAGGCCAACCTGTGATAGTCCTGGCTCCGGAATGCTAAGCAAATCGTCCAGGAACACACGCATCCTCTTTTCGGAGCCATGGGTGGCCAGCTGGAAGGTGAGCATTTTGTGCCAGTGCTGCAATTCGTCCAGCGATTGAAGAGCCTCGCACAACTTGATCTGATTCTCGATAAAGCGGATTTTGGCACTTTGCTGCCAGCTCTCCGAATGTCTCCTAAAATATATCGTGTATATTATGTATATTATAAAAGCAAGGTTAACACTTACAGCTCCATGCCGCCAGTGAAACAAAAGTAATTCTGACTACTGGCCTGCATGCTGAGGAGCGGAAATTTCTGCTGCATTTGGTCCATGTCCCTAGGGAGAGTACCGCGGATGCCGTGGTACATGATTGCATCCTTGGTGGCCAGCACCAGCCACGATTGCAGACTAGTCGAATAGGAGTATGAGTTCCCGCTAGGGAAACCAATCAATGGCATACCCTGATCAGTGACCGAGAACTGAACTGCTGTTCCGTGTTTGTTTAACAGCTCCAAGCATCCGGCCGCCAAGCTAATTACCTTTTTGGCGATATCCCATATCCGCAGCAATCCGCACTCGGTCAGCACACCCACTAAGCTGTTGTCCGGACTCTGGAATTACAGACGATTGGTAAATACAACTTGGGTATCCATTCTTGAGACAGGATTTTCATATTTTTAAAATTTTAGGATCATTATAAAGGAAAAACAAGTTAAATTTATACAAAAAAGAACTATTTTAAGTTATTAGAACTCACAAAGGCGCAATGTACTGCTGAACTAGTTAGCGAGATGGCAGGAAAGACTGGACAGCCCGTCTCCATGGAAATCAGTCGCATACTCCCATCCAGAGAGCACAGCATGGCGTATTTTCCACACAGATTGAGATTTACCAGCGGAGATCCAACATAGAATTCCCAAAGCATTTCCTTTGAATCCGAGGCAGTGACCTTTGCGAGCATCCCGTGATTTGTCTTTAAGTAACCATTCTGAACATGGACACGATAGTCCAAAGCGGCCTTAACAAACTCACTCTTTCCAGTGGCTGTGACATTGAGATTGATGGGACCATTGGTACTACTTTGGTGCTCTTCAATTCGCGGAGATCGTGGCAATTCGCTGTTTTGGCCAGGATCAAAGGGCACTGATTGCCGACGCTGGCTAGCGGGTTGAGTTTTTAATCTAGAATCCAGTCGACCCAAATCCGCTTTGCTAACCAAAGGTTCTAGCGGCATCAGGGGAGTTGCAGCGCTTTCCGTTGGAACAGCAGACGAGACTGCTGCGGCTGCCGCAGAGCAAGAAGTTAAAGCTGTTGTCGCCGATCCACTGCTGGACACTATATGTGTACTTATTGATGTGGGTCCATCTTCATGGAGAGGTATAAACATGGGTGTGATTCTACGTTTGCCATCCTTGGTTCTTGTTTCCGTTTGCTTACTAATGGGTCGCTGGGTGCCCTCGTTATTGTTATTTAGTGGGAATTTCGTGGGCTTATCTCCGTGAGGTAGCAATAATCTCTGTGGATGCTCCATGAGGGCAGTGTGCTTGCCCAAACCATTGGCATAGTTTTGACCGTACATTTTCCGTATAATGGCATTCTTTTCGTCCTCGGAAATGGCCTTGCCCAGTTCATCTTCTGTGAACTTTAAACAGGCTATACTGCCATCGCCACTGCAGGCCATTAGCAGGCACTCCTTTGGACCCCAGGATAAATCAAGGATGCTATCGTTAAACAGTTCATGGATAACAACCATTGGTCGCTGCAGGGCTGTCATCCAAACGGATAATGAGCGATCACGAGACCCAACAGCAAGGCAACAATATTGCAAGGGTTTACTCGGACTGCCATCGTTGTCCTGACGCCTTAATATAGAATTGTGAAATCTTACACATGTCACCGCCTTGCGATGACCAACGAAATCCTTGTCACACTTCCAGCCCTCACGTTCAATGATCTGAGCGGTAGGTCCACCGCCATTCATGGCATGTGCAGAGACCAGATACTGACCGTCCGGTGACCAAGAAAGCCTTAAAATGTGCGTTGTCCCGCCACACTCTTCAAACGGTTCGGTGATGGTGTGTGAAAGGTTCCAATCCATCGTATTCCAGATCTTAATACTTTTGTCATCCGATTGCGAAGCCAGGAAGCGACCCATCGGATCCCAGGACACTCCTTTCACCAGCCCTGTGTGACCTTTTAGAGTGGCTACGGAATGTGGAAATGCCTGGGCATCCCAGATCATCACCGTATTATCAATGCTACAGCTGGCCAAATAGACATCATTAGGTGACCAGGCCAAATCGAGGACATCACCATTATGCCCACGCAGTGTGTGAAAACATTTCCAGGATTCGTGATTCTTTTGCATGCCGCCAGAACCGAAAACTCCACTTGATCCGGCACATTTCCGCCAGATCATGATAAGCTTGTCATCAGAACCGGAGGCCAGATTTTGGCCATTTTGCGACCATCGTACGCAGTTGACACAAGCCAAGTGCTGATCCATTTGGCACAACATCTTCGGTATGTCCGCATCGCATTCTGCTTTATCGGAGAGGACCGGCAACAGATTCCATATGACAACGCGTCCACAATCGCTGCCCTGACCACCAGTCGCAAATTTCGTGCAATCCTGATGGATATCCACCGAGAATATCTGTTTGTCTGCCGGCAAAAAACATGGGGTTAATATAATTCCCTAAAAACCATCAACCCGGTTATCCCAGATTTATCAAACTTACCATCGTGATGCACCCAAGCCGGCTTGAGGAGCCGCATTTACGATTTACTTATAATAATTGTCTTTTAAATACAAATAAAATTAAATTTCAACTAATAAACTAAATGCCCGATATGATATAAACAGAATGAATGGTCTATCGATTAGTTGATAAGCTATATGGTTAAGAGAATTTTCACCTATCGATATTGAGATGAATTGTTAACTAAAATATCGCTATGGGTCACATTGCCAAGAGCGGGAAATTTTGAAATTTAGGAAAAAATGAAACTAAGGGAAGTTAGTGGGAAATTATAAAACAAAAACTTATCAAACATTTAGGAAGAGTATTTTTAATTTTGAAAAATTATAATATTTACAATATTCGAAATTTGGCAAATTTGGTATATCCAAAAAGGCTTTCCCTATGTAAAAAAGCTTATCGCATGCACAAATTGTACAATTTCCTGAAAATATAAAATCCAACAAGCAATAAAATAGTTAAATTGTAATCGTTAAATATACAATAAAATGCTTATTAAACATCTTGGCGAGTAGTTAATACATTGTTTTCCGTTTAGATTATAACCCCATCTCTTTTTGAGGACCTCTCATCTTATTGGACCCACTTTTCCTATTTTTATTTTATGCATAGCTGGGTGGGTGGAGTAAAACTAACGAAAGGAACCGAACAACGAGGAAAGCGCCGAAAACTTTCCTAAGCGCTTGGCTGTCATTGGTCTCCCTATTTAGTGGGCGGGGATTTGGAGGCAATGGAATGAGAGGGTTCTTATGGGGTGGGATCAAATTAACCAGAATAAGACTAATATTTTGAGAAGTATAACGTCAAGTTTATCTAGTGATTTAGCTATTAAATTGCTTTTGCAAAGTTTCTCATATGCTTCATTTGAATACATCAAAATTGTCTCTCGAAAGGTTGTTTGTTTATTTATTTGTTTGCTTTGACAGTAGGAAGTAATGTTTCCCCTCAGAATTATCAAATGTAAATCTCAAGCCTCCAATTGACTGACAATCCGAACTGTCTCAATAAAGTTAAAAGCGAAATAAAAGCAGTACGAAGAACACCACTCTACCTGGGACAATTTGCAATCCAACGCATCTGTCGCCGGCAACATGTGGCGTCAATGATGTTCCTCTAACATTCCCCTCATGCTTTTCCACGACTTTTCCTTAGATTTTCCCCACAGTTTTTCCCACCCATTTCTGAATGCCACTTGACAATTGTCAACAAAGCGCACGTAAAGCGATTACAGTCTGCGTGAGTGCAGGGACATGGAAATGGAAATGTGTGGAAATGGATCCTGCCCATGGAATTCCACATACCATGGATATCTTTTGTGATACACTCTGTGGTATCTGACGGATATTTGGCAAATCCGACGCCAGCGGCACTTAAGCTGCTCAAGATTGTTCACATTGTCAGGAATAAAAGATTGAATTTCGAAGAAGTAAAAGGGAAAATGCAGTGGATAAATATTAATGAAGTTTTTTAACTTTTCACTTTATTTTCTAAAGATTTGAGATATACAAAATAAACATTTTTATGAGAGATATCTAACACATTGAAATCAATTCTCATTTAATAAAATATTAGCCTCGCCCAAACAGGAAATACAATTTTAATTTAATTAATGCAAAAAGTCCACCAAAAAAGTTTCAAATATCCCGCCCACTAACTCATTAGCCGCAGCCCAGAAACCGCAATTTTTTTCTTTTGCAGGAAAACAAAAAAAAAAGAAAAACCTTTTTGGACCTGAGCCCAAAATCAAACTCACGAAAAGCTTACGAGCGTCTGCCTTGATTGTCCTTGATGGATGGATAAAATGGATGGATGATGGACGTTCCACCAACCGCAGGAATCACTCATAATGGAGAACGGTGGATGGTGGGTGCGGCGCTAAAAGCAAATGACAATCAGCGGAGAGAGGCAAACATTTAACAAAAAGACAAGAAACAAAGTTTAAAATCTAAAAAATGGATAGAGAGGTGGGATGAAGAGGGGGGGGGGAGGGGGGTGGGTGTTAGTCTCTCTAAGAACGGTGGCACATTGCAATTTACATGCAAACAAACAAATAAGCCCAGCCAGCCCAGAAAAACCACCCAACACCCACCACCCACCACCCACCCAATGTACAGTATTCCCTTTCGCACCGCTTTGTTTGCTTTTGCCACCCAAACCACTTCAAACCTTCTGTCTGACTGTCTGTATATATGTATCTATATGTACAACTGTATGTTCGTTCAACATTTCAATCAACGCTCGAGTGAAATGTGGAAAGAAAAAAAAAAAATCGTAATAAAAGCAAGGATAATATGGCAAGCGGAGTGGTTTGGCGGATGGGTGATGCAGAGGAAGTGGTACCGCCGCCCAAGCGGAAATGGATGCGCATCACAAAAGTGGCACAAATTGTGTGGCATGTGTGAGACGTTGCACGCAGCCATAAAAGAGAAAATTATATACTCGTATAGTTTCTTTAAATAAAAACATAAATTTAAACTTAAACTGCCTATTCGTTATTTAGAAAACTATGTCCCGCTTCTGACTAACATTTTTGATCGTTTTTTTTCTACAATTGTCCTTCTCTGTCCTGGATTTTGCCGTTTCGAAATTCATCCTATTCGGGTTTTGGTCACCTGAAATGAGAACTTACAGAACAGTGCAACAGCCGCTGTTACATGATGTAAAACCAAGTCTTTTTACCGAATGGATTGCCATAACAACCGTTTACCGAGATCTCGAGCAGAGTCCAACCAAAAATGGTTGGGGGAAAAAAAGGTGGCAGGGAAATGCGACGACCAGAACCAAATCCAAAGTGTAAACATTCACAGCCTTCGTTTGGCGAGGGAAAAATTTTGTTTTTTTTTTTTTTTTTTGGGTGGTTACGACGGCTATCCTAGACAATGATGTATGCCCCATCCCCAAAAACCACAGCCGCACCCAAACATACACCCTGGACAGCAACAGCTTCCTTCCGTGCTGACGTTTGATGTGCAGCCATGGAAGCTTTATATATATTTTTTTTTTTATTTTGAAAAATACTGCGAGTGGGTGGCCAACACGCAACCAACGTGTGCCAACAGCTAACAAATACGGCAAAAAAAAAAAAAAAAAAAAAAACGAACCAAAGAATTCGGTATTTATTTCAAACAAGTTCAGCACAGAAAACTGCATAAAAAAGAAAACTCAACTCGAAAAAAGGAATACGGATTCATATTCCATGGCCGATGGCAATTCGCAATGATACACAGAAGAAAAACTACTAATTATGATAATTATTTTGAGAAGATCAATTATTTAGCTTCAGATATCTTTAATAAACATTTAGAAATTATATTTTGATTTTTTATATGACAGCAATCTGTCGTTCTTGTAGTAGATTTACATATCTTTCTTTCAGTGATCTTTCCCCCACACAGACATGCCATGCAATTGCTTGGCAACAGCTTGCGGGGAGGTGTCGCTAATGAAGTCGCAAACAGTCGGTGGCAGGAATAAAAAAAAAAAAAGTAAGCAAAAGAAAGCAACGCAACGCAACGCAACGCTCTACATATCCAACCGCATCCGCATGCCTTCATTGTAATAGAAATTATAAGCTTATCCTCTTCCAAACCAGCCGCCCATCCCCACCCACACCCACTCAGTTAAGCTGTCGTTTTAGCAACACGTTGCCCATAGCCAAGGATTGCATCTATTGTTCCAATGGCAACATCCGCCAGAGAATGGTAATTGAAAACGGGCAACGTTGCTCTTGAATATGCAAAAATTAACCAACATAATGTAATATAAAAAGAGTTTTTAATCTTCTAGGTTTTAATATTTCCTGATATTTGAAATCAAATCCAATCAAAATCACAAAATAGTTTTCAATTGTACATTCTCGTGTTGTCCAAATTTAAATCTGATCTTAACCGCTTGAAATGTGGCAACCCTGCCAACAACCGGAAGCGATCAACCCATGGACCAATAAGTTTCCGTCTCGCTCTATTTTTGGTTCTATTTTTGAAAAAGTTTTTACCTTTTCTTCGAGGGTGGTTTCCATTAACACTTTTGCACATTCGCTACTGCCAATGTTGCTGCTGATGCGCACCACCAATGCCACAGCGACTGGGGCGCACCACCCACCCACCCACCAATCTAGCAAACTGCCGCTTTTGCTCTGCTGGCGCTCTGCTTACGCCTCGTTTCATTTACAACAATTCATAATTTTAAAATCGCACCGAACTCGCCTCGTTCTGGTTCTCGGTCTCTGTTTTTCTGTTTCTGTCTCGGCCTCAGGGACTCGTTGGATGCTGCTCTGCTTTCCTGCTGCTGCTGCTGCTACTGCTACTGCTACTGGTACTGCTGCTACTGCTACTGCTGCTGGTGCTACCGCTGCTGGCACTCATTTCATTTGATTTTTAACTGTCATCGACGGCAGTTCAGACAACGCGTTTTCAATGCTGTGTTTATAATATTTGCATATCTTTTTTTTTAAGTGAACGTGAGCTCTATTAAAAAATTTGATCAAATATATTTTCTAAAAAAACATAAAAGGTGAGAAAAGAAAATCCCTTTTGCAAAGATCACAATTAAATGGTGTTAAAAGAAATTAAAAAATAGTGTGAAGTAAAATATTATATGAGATATTTTTGGTACAGCAGGTTTAAATATCTTGACGAAGATTTCATCTGTATCAAAATCTATAAAAAGTTAAAATGTTATAAAGATGATCCTGAGTTTTCAAAAAGAAATAGTTTATTATATAGATTTTTTAATATATCTTTGTTTCTAAAGAATGCAAAGTTTCACAAATTTAGAATTTAAACACTTAAAACTTCAATCAGAGGATGTCATTGGATACCATATTATAATTCGAATAACTTTATAATTTCCCAAATTCAAAATGATCTGCTCTCTGAAAAAAACAAATCCAATCTACATCCACCCAAGAAATTTAAAAACTTCCAACTACCGTTGGTGAAATTATTTAGCCATAACTCATACGCAACCAAGGGTTGCATTTCACTCTCTCCACGTTCAGATCAATTCACATGGAGAGAACCTGTCATAAAGGGTTCAAATCAAATTCGATTTGGGCAACGATGTGTTGGTTATTTGGTTTTGATTCTCTGGGCAAAGTTGCAAATGAAATTTTTGGTCAAATTTTTTGGGGCGACTCACATGAACATGATGACATGGATAACAGATACAGCGGACAACGTTCAACGTACAACAGACAGAGTTCCGGATGCGGGGCAAAGGGTCTCTGTCTGACGCAGTCGACAAACATGGACAGGAGAGCCACAAGTGGCACATTATTTTAATTCGCAGTCAAACGCTGTAACGTTAACACCACAACGACATGTCACCAACCGAACCAACAAGTTCATTTGTCTGCATATGTGCGTATATTTAAACGGGGTGGGTTAAATACAGGGCAGGATCAGGGTCCTCAACGGGTAAGGATGCCAAAAAACGGGGATTTGATTAATTATATTTTTGATTTCATAATTAAGTCATAACTAAAAGCAACGATATATTATAGATCAGAATGATTTTGATTTACAAAATCTTTGTAGATCAGCTTTAGCTTGTTTCGCAGGGTCGAAGAACTTGATACATCTCTAGCCAGATCATGGCCAGTCCTGATTTTTACTATTTAACAAACTTTGACTACGTTTAGGGTTGCACACCAGGTGAACCCGAGAGAGGGTTGCTTACCACCAACACCATGGGGGGGCGGAGGGCTTTAGATGAACTCCAAAAGGATTTCCAGAGTGGAGTGGCATGGACAACTTATCGTTGTTTGATATGCTATAATTATGTTATAAGGTTGCCCAGCCCAAGTGCCAGTTAAGTGTATGCTTTTGCAAGGGTTGCCCACAATCGCAGTTGGGATTTTCATATTTTAGCCGGGGGTTGACTTGAATTCAACATCAATAATGCGACATCAATCAGCTGGGTAGTAGCCTTGAGTGGGTTGATGGTGGTTCACCACCCAAGGGACAAAACGATGCGGAGATTACTCTCTACTCTGATTTTAATTGCCACGCTGTTTGGGTAGCTAAAAAAAAGAAAAAAAAAGAAAAGAATATTGCAAAGAATTATGTAAAAGTTAGTTCTTAGCTTATCCCCAGACGAAAGACAAACAAAAGTCGGACCAAGTCGGTATGCACTTTGCGCATTAATCTCAGCTCCATTTTTACCATACTTCTTGGACTTATACTCAGCTGCAAAAGTTGTGCAAAAACTTGGGCATGGGCCATAAAAAGAAAGTTGTCCGACAGCTGCTGATTGAATATTAAAATGCTGCCAGTAACTCTCTAGCCATCCTCCCATTAAAATTATGAGAAACTGGCAATTAAAGCGCTGCCCAGCATCAATCAGTGACGGGAAAATCAACGGAATTCTCACCGACGGCCAGATGACAGAATGGCTACGCCTATCCATGCCTCCACGCCTCCAACCATCACGCCTTAATTAGCATAATCTAATTTCAACTTTGTCGCAAAAGCTCCCCCACTAATTTTTTTTTTTTTTTACTTCATCCGAACAACGGCTGCCAAAAAATGCAAATCAAGACCCATCCTTCTGGTAAACTCCTCCCCCAATCGTATATTCCTTTTGCGACAGTTGAAAACTTTATATATTTTTACAACGAAATGAAAAAACAATAAAAATACGAATGGATTCCACAAATCCAACATAGAAAAACAGAAAAAAAACAAAAGGAATGCAAAAAAATCGTATAAAAGATAAAAATACCTCGAAATATATTTTTCTTCTATGCCCAACTAGTTAAAGAATTTAAATTTTCTTTGCTTTTCAAAAGATTTCTTTATAAACTGCTGTCAGTAATCAAAGTTCTGGTTATAAAATGCTTTTTTAGACTATTCGTGTATACCTACTAGGATTATTTATAGGGTATTCAGTTACAGGCGTCGGCTGTGGCTTGTTAAAAACTTTTTTAAATGCGAAAATGAAAGAGCAACAAGGCACTGGAGATATGGAGTTTGGGGGTATGGAGCTTTGGTGGCTTCAATGAGTGGTATACTGTTCCTGGTTAGAATTGACAGGCTCACAGGCACAGGATACAAGCAGCCAGGACATGGCGTCAAGTGCCTCAACAGTTTGGCAACACAACAATTGAGTTTGTCCACGAATGTTCGCGGTAATGGGAACGGGAATAGGGTGGGTGTGTCACTGCTGTTGAAACATTTAATTTACTGGAATTTGGCGCGATGTGTGTAAGCTTATTAACAGCTTGGGGGATCAGCAGGGAGTTCGTTTAAAAAAAAAAAAAAAAAAGAAATGTGGAAAATTTAGTGCAGAGGGTGAGGATTTTATCGCCTGTTTTTCTATGCAAATTTTGAACTGTTTTTCTGAGGGACTGGGGACAGATGTTGGCTTAATAAAGTTATAATAAAGGTAGCTTAGCAGACAGCAGCTGTGGTAACAATGGATTTGATGCACATGGAAGTTATGCTATTATGATTATATGACTACAGGATTCCGCTTATTCTCAGGTCCTGTTAAACTATTGGTAATATATATTTATTATTTTCTTCTTCGTTTGCATTTACTTTTACTGGACTTTTCATTCATTCATTTCATACACTTTTAAGACGCTTTTAAATCGAACACGAAATGCTTCTTCAACCACTCCTTAGCTTTCCTTACCTAGAAAACACACTCTCTAAGACAGATTCACTTTGAGTAAACAGAAAATTCAGATTTAATTGTCCCATGGGTAATGGAAATGCGGTAGCATGGAAAAGGCGGGGGAACGCCAGTCCAAGACAATGCTAATATATATACTACTACTATTCGTATACAAATATATAAATCTCAACTGACTTCAGCCACAGAACTTAGCCAAACGTCTTTTGTGTGTTTTTCCCTTTTTCTTCTCTCCAACAGCAGCAGTAACGCAATGAAGGACAGCAGCAACATCTCGACGAGCAACACAGCAGGGATGCCATGCTCCGCCGGAGGAGCAATAACAACGTCTGGGGTAACCACCAGCAATGCCACACCCAGTGCTCCAAGTACGCCCACAACAGCAGCAGCAGCAGCAGCAGCAGCATCTGCTGCAGACCTATCAGCAGCACAGCAAAATCCACAACAGCGCAGCAAAAGCAATATCCATGAGCTAAGAAATCAGGATTACGTCAGTCGTCTAATGGCAGCGACTCCACCATATTTATATTCCGCACCCGTGGGACCAAATAATTTCTTTTTTAGCGATATGCTGCGTTCCTTAGTTCAAGCGCGAAATAATGAGACGGCGCGTGTATTGCAGCTGCAACAACAACAGCAACAGCAGGCACAGCAGCAGCAGCAGCAACAGCAACAGCAACAACAGCAGCAGCAACAGCAACATCAAGCGGCATTGGTAAGACGGCCAAGAAAACGATCCTGGTCACATCGTCCTTACTATGAGCAATTACGAGAGCGACGTGATGCCGAGGAGAAACAAAATAATCAGCAACATCTACACCATCAGCAACATCAGCACCAGCAACTTCAGCAGCAAATGACACCGGAAAAACCACTGGAGCTCACCAATAAAGCAATAACGCCCTATGGCTATGCCAAAATGGAAACCAAACCACCAATAACAACGTCAACGGTAGCACCACCAACAGATAGCAGCAATAAAAGTGGTCTGGGTGGTGCAATTGATACTAATCTACAGGATAATACACCGCCAGCGGCAAGTTTGCCGCCACAAGATTTGGTCTTGCCACCGCCACCACCCGTTTGGTATCCACCGCTCTATGCACCCTACGGCATCGATCCATTGCACTTTTTCATCGATCTACGAGTTTCGGGACATATATACGATCGAAAGAAAGAGAACGTCTCACCCTTGTCGAGTAGCAACAATGCAATTGCCGAGGAAGGTTCACCGGGATCGTGTTCTAGTTCAGGTGTAACATCAGGATCTGGTTTGGCTAGTAATTTGCTAAGTAAACAACGTCATGGTTCCGCTTTTACGGTGCCAATTCCCAAGGCAGCACAAAATGATGCCATTAATCTATGCGCCAATGCTGCAGGTGGTGCAACGGTCGGTGGTGGAGTGACCACCACATTGGGTAGCAAACTCGAACATTATGCCAAGTATTATGATCTGGGTGAGACTAAGGAGAATCAACCATCTAGTACAGCTGCTAATCTTTCAGCAGCCGCTGCCGCCGCTGCTGCAGCTGCGAATCTATCGAAATCGGGAGCCAGTTATATGTTGCAACATCTGCCACGACTCTATAGTCAGTTTGCTGCCCATCAGGCACAGGTTCAAAATCAGGATACTGATGCCAAATCGGAATCAGCATCGGTTAGTGCCTCACTCTCGGCACCCGATCTCTGTGATGACGATTCATTGGGTCGCAATTCCAGCGATACGGGAGCTGCCTTAGAGAACACTAGCGGTGGTCAGGGCAATTGTGACATCGATGTGGAGATCATTGACTCTATCAAATATCGGACAGATGGCGAAAGTAGTCGTTGTTCCAGCAATGACGAAGCCTCCATCACACAAATCGATTGAGATTACAAATTACAATTTTATGAATAAAGTTAAATGTGCCAATTAGTTTAGTGTTTTTATTATTTAATCGGGACTGGTTGATATTTCAATAGCTTAAGGTAAGTTAGATATTTTAGATTGATGTATTCTTAGAATGATTTACCCATCAAACGTGACAGCTGTGATGCAAAACTGGTTTCCTGGTATTTAAGGAAAAGTTCCTGGTTTCTCATCCTGTAGCGGTAAAAGTAATTTCATAAATCATTTGACGCCGTCGTCGTCGCGTTGGTTGGTTCATCTTACTTGTTGTTGTTGCTGCCTCAAGGCATTCTTTAAATGTCGTCTCGCGAACGGGCCCACCAACGTTGGGTGCCAAATAATAAAAAAAAAAAGGACCTTCACCACACCGCCACAAAGCATTATACGCCTGACTACGCTTTGTGTAAATTAAAACTGCTGCCGGCTGCTGGCGGATGATGACGATGACAACGCCCCCGCAATCTCCACCACAGTATTTTGCAATTCTCTTGCATTCCTTGTTTTTTTGTTTTTATTTTCATTTTTATTTGAGCCCCACAGGATATTAATTTTTACACCATTCATTGATTTTGTTTGCTACCCGGTTGCTTAATGAACACATGCAGTGTGAAACGATGGGGGCGTGGCGACTTGTGCGTTCACCAGGCTCGTTTCCGTTTCCGTTTTTATTTATGACGCTTCTTGCTCTTTTTTTTTTACCCTACCATTGTTATCAAACGTATGGATTTCCATGAGTTTGCAAATTTCTGCACATTGAGGCAGAAAAAGCCAATGCACTGAAAGCCAATCAAAGCTGTTGTACAAAATGAAAAAATCAAAATAAAAAAAAAAGAGAAGTACAGTCTCACCAAAAGTGGTCGATAAAAATTTTGCATCACAGAAAGGAAAGTGGGGTGTAACGAAAAAATAAGTGTCATCATCATCATTCTGATTATCATCATTGTGTAATCAAAGTAAGTAGCAAAAGGAGATAGCGGCAGAATTGAAATTCAACCTAATTGCAGGAAATTTATAACTCAACTTAACAGCTGACAGATTTTTCCCTTTTTTGCTGCCCCAGAGGAGGGGCTTAGAAGAGGGTCCTGTCATGAATACTTGCGTACTTTTGTTATCCTCTCGAATTCATAAATCTTGGCAGACGCTCATAATTCATGCAACAGTCGACAATTGGCAGCGGTTTCCACTCAAGACGATGGGGTTGTTTCGGTATGAGTTTCTTAAACATTATAGCGGCAATAAGCTCAGCTTGCGGCAACAAGAAACAACAACAACTTTTACCAATGACAAGTCGGGCTAACTGGCAGCCAAATAAAAAGAAAGATAATAACAACAATTTATATGGAAAACCGAAGAAGTAGCGTTGAAAATTCCTTGGTTGAGGGTTGGGTGTTGTACGACAAACAATGAATGCAGCTTATCCCAAGGGGACAAAAAGTACTTGGGCGTGTTGACAGCTTAAAGCTTTTCCCCTAATTGATATATTTGTTTATTTAAAACGTAAGGAAGAACACCCGAAAATGGTAAGGGGTTATTACTTAAGATAATCCGCAAGTTTCTTTAAGTAAATTTTAGGATTTGAAAATATGTTTTAGGCAATTTTTTAATAAGTCAACCAATTTTGTGAATATACTTTTAAAAGTTACAAAATTACTTATTTAATATTAAAATTTATATATTATAATAATAATAACTATTATAGTTATAATTTGAATTTTTCAATTTGAATTGAAAACCGTTACTAGTGGCGCCATCTATGGTTTCAAATAAAACAGAGCAAAGTCTAACAGTGCTGCCAATTTATAGCTAGATTGTAGTGACTGCTGACAGTCGGCACACTTACGTAATGGGCAGCACTCATTGCGCGGGTATTTCGAAATATTTTCATAGATTTGCATTTGTTGCTCAAAACAATTAACAGCCAATCAAAAGTCAAACTAAGCAAACAAATTAAATCAGATTAACTTAAAGCACGCATACAAAAAAAAAAAAAAGTCTTGCATTTACCACAAAGAGCCTTCGGCAAATTATCATGTGATTGTGACTGCGAGTGCTCGCATTTTATTTTTTCCTCTAATTCGTACATATTTTTGTAGTTCGTATTTGTTCTGCTTTTGTTGTCTTCATTCCACTACACGTTTTCTTGTTTTTTTTTTAAGTTTTTGTTGTATTAAAGTCATGCTTGTAAATGAGTTCAAAATGCTGATTATATTAAAAGAGGAACGCGCTTTATTTGCTCATACATATGTATGAGAAAATTTTCCAGATAGCGTTCGTTGTGATTTTTTGTATATGTATATGTATGTGTATGTACATACATATTTTCATAAATACATATGTATATAAATACATACATACATCGTTATTTATTTATTTAGTTCTTTTGCCTGTCGAAATTTGCTAATTGTGGCAGCACGTAAACAAAAGAAAATAATAAGATCAAGTAGAATTATTGAAAAATCAAATAGTTTTGTGTTTACGTTTTTAATTTTTTTTGACAAGAATTTTTTACTGCGTATTTCTTCAACAATAAAAAGAGAGGGTTCGAAGAAAAACAAAATTCAAAAAAAAAAAAAAAAGAGAATAACAAGAGAGGACAGACGCTGCTATTTGTTTGACATTTATCAAGAGCTACAATAACAAGAAAATATAACATCTAATAGTAAAGAGATAGGGAGGGGTAGCGAGAGGGCAAAAGGCATTTGATGAGTGACATTCTTAAGAACCAATATTAAACTTACCAAATCGAACCACAGATAAATAAAAGAAAACAACGATAAATACAAAAAATTACAATAATCAACTATAAATAACAAACCACAGATAAATAAAGAAAAACCACAACAAAATAACAAACCAAATTTAAAACAAAAACAGTAAGTTAAGTAAAACTAAACAATAAGAAGAAAATTACCAAAAACGGTATAAGAAAATGCAATAAAAATAAACAAAGATTAACAAAAGAGTGTGGAAAGGGACAATCGTTGACTTCTATGCAATTTTCCGCCTATTTATACACGCTCTTTATGAGAGGGCAGGCAAATAAGAGTAAGATAAAGAAAAAGAAAAAGAGCGAACGCGCTCAATGCAAACAAAATTAAACATGGCTAAATGCGTCCAACCGCCCGCCACCCACTGTCCCGCCCCGTTAGTTCACCGACGCCTCTTTTCCATCTTCCCTCCTTTTCCCATTCTTCTTTCTTTTTTCAACGACCTCACCTAGACAATAATGCAAACAGAAGGAAGAGAAGTTGTAGAAAAAGAGGAAGACGAATGAATAGGCACCGTGGAACGCAAATGGGAAATGGGATGATAAGAAAATTTCAGATGTGCATATGCTTACCGATCAATCATAGATACAGTCGATATTTGATTGAAAAAAGTGTCCACAGATTTGTAATTCTAATTGTCAAATAGCCTTTAAAAATCGCCTAACAAGGCACACAAAATAAAAAATTGCAGACCTATTAATAGAAACTCCAAGGCTCTAAAAAAAAAGTTCACAGTATAAACTTTATGTTATATTTATAAACCAATTACATATCATTTAAGTTACATTTTTCAATGTTATGCTCAAAATGTTGTAACCTCAAGCCACTGTGAACCGCATAAGCTATCTCATCCCATCAACAATTTTTTTTTTTTTTTTGGTCTATATAGCCTCCGATTCCGATTCGCATCTCTACACCTCAAAGCTGCTAAAAAGAATTTCGCTTTTCTGTGTATTTACTTATTTTCCTCTCAGCAGCGCCGCTTTTGATTATCGTTTTGTTTTCAGTTCATTGAAATTTAATACGTCAGCCGGCACCATTCACGAGATCGGAGCATTGAGGTAAAAACAATCAAAACTATTGATATTGAGGTTATTTAATAGGTAAGAACGTGAAAAGATATACCGTTCAAGATATTATTAAAAAGTATAGGAAAAGGATCTACATACATACATATATGGTAAGTTAGTAAGTCAGTGTGCAAATGTTCTCTGCTAAAATCCACGTATAGCTTACTATTACATCTAAGGCTTTTCATTATTATATAAAATATGTTTTCAGATTGATAGCTGATGCTCAAGGTCAGGAAACACATTTTAACATGGCATATTTAATAAGGATAATACATACAATACATACGTATGTATATCTATCATGGAAGTTTTGTAATCTTTTTATCTTTTTAAGATTAAGATACGCGGTTACAAGCACTTCACACACAACCATCCCCTCCATTAAATGGGTTTTCTTTTCACTAATACATACATACATACATTCTCAGTAAATCTGATATCTATTCTTTGACCGATTCCCAGATATGTAGCAACTGCTTGTGATATTGTGCGTGCCTTTTAATTGCATTCAATTTTGTTGCTCTGCAGGGTTTTTGCATATTTTATTGACTGATCCGAAAAAAAAAACTACGACACTGTATATAGTTTGTGATGGTGATAGTGATGTGATGAAGATGGTTAGATGTTTCGGTTTTGGTTAGTTATGCGGGAGTAGGTATGGGGATAGTGCTGTTGTGGTCTGGGGTTGTACATGGCAACAGAAAATTTGTCGGGTTTGTTTGCTTTATTGCTCCACTTTTGCTTGTGACTTTTTAGTGCCCTGGCCGCTGTCGCTGCTATTTGATTTTCACATTTTTCTTTATTTTGGTATCACATGATTATACGAACATACCCCACACACAGATAGAGATACATTTATACCTGCGGCGTGTGTATGTGTGTTGTTGTTCAGTGGAAAATGTCTTTTTGTTTTATTTTTTGTTTTCTATTTGGTTACTTTTTAGTTTCGGTTTTTGAGTGACTGATCTGTAGATCTTCACATTTGTCGCTGTCATCGTCATTTGCTCTGCACAGCAACAACATAATGACGCCAAAGTTTACCTTCGTTCTTTTGTTATCTGCATGTATGTATTAAGAATACCAAATTTCCATCCATTTATAATACTTATCACCACTCAATGGTTATAGAACATTTCTCTCTAATAAAAATCTAAATCGCTTGAAACAAATTTAAAATTAAATTTAATTCGCATTATAAATTAAATTTTATTTGATGGCAAAAGTAAGTTTGATGCGACTTAAGTGGTATCATCACGTGTTGTTGCTCGGTCTGTCCCATTCAGATACTTTGGTCACACTGCAGCGTGCTCTTTCCAAGCTTTCCTGCTCTCTGCTCTTTGACTCCGTTTTGTTGTGCTTTTGCACCTGTTTATCTGTTTTTGCTTTTTCACCGTTTTAAGCGTGATTTTGTGGGTGTGAGGGGATCGGGCTTGAGACTGTAAGCCCCCTTTTCAACGTTGCCA